CTCATTTTTTTTATAGATTTCTAAATCAAAATAACAAATGTGAAAACAACTTGATAAAACCATTCTTCGTAGGTTTTTTTTTTTTTTTTTTCTGTGGTAAAATTTCATCAGTTAGTTTGCAAAACTATCTTTAGGAATCTGAAAAGGGCATTTTCTGGTTTTAGAGTCTGGAATTCTTTGTTCCCAGAAGCAACATCCTGTACGTATTGTATTTAAATACATTATTGTGATGTAACCAAATTTATGGGTGGGAGTATTCTGTTACTGAAAAATGTGCCATTAAAGAGTAAAGAGCAATAGCAGTAGCCTTTATGGTAGAAGAAGCTGAGAGAGAACTGGTTAACGCACCAGGTGCTGGTCAGCAGACTTGCTGCCTGACCTGAATTACAAAATATTTTTTCTATTAGAAATTATGTAAGGATATTGGCAGTGTAGCAGAATGAAACTGAGCACTTTTTTTCTGTCACTATAGAATGAAAAATCAAGGAACGTAAGTCACAATTAGACCTTGTTAACTTTTAACAGGTTAATGCTGTCTGTATTTGCAATTTTGTATTCGTGAACTTCCCACAATATTATTTGTATGTCTTCACTATATTTAGATTTTGATAACTTTAATATTAAAATAATTTGAAATATATTAGTTTCTTCTGTTTCTGTGCTGAACTATCTCAAAACATTGTTTCAGGTGAGTTTAAAGTGCTATTTCTTTTCCGTCCTCACTTACTATAATGCTCCCTGTACTGGAAATACTGTTGTGTTTACTCTTGTACTGGCCCTTCTCTGCAGATTTACTATATATTGAAGTTTTTGAAGACAGCTGGTCAGAAAAACACTGAAGAAATAGCTTTGTATTAGCAGAATAAGTTATAGAAACTGGAATCTGAAATAATGAAAAGATTAACCGTTAGCATTTGGTTCACTGCCATTTTTAAGATGGCAGTATATCATGCTACAATACTTTCTGTAGATAAGCTTTTGTTAAACTTTTAAAGTAATTTGAGTAGGTAATTACTAGTGGTTTAGTAGTCTGAGGCAGGATTGATGGCAGCTTGATTGGCTGTAGCAGTTACTAAAGTTCACATTTTATGACCTCCTTAAAAATATTAATTTAGAAGCTTATGAATTACTCTCTGGAGTCACCCTGAATTAACAAATACTAAGCTATCTTCTAGCTTCTGAATCCTTTTGTGAAATAATTTCTGCCCACTACTGAACTTTATAGTGTTTTTCAAGAACTGATTTTCTAGATACAGCGGTAGTAACTCTTTGGTGGCCAGGAGTAAGTTGTGCAAAATGTTCTTATAAATAGTCTTGTTCCATGCCGGCGTTAAAGAAGACCCTGGGTGGTGACTCCTGCCCATCCTTTGTGCTTGGCACAGCAGCTGCATTTGTGTGACAATGTAGTCATTGAGGAGCTGGGCTATGCTTTTAAAATGGGGTGGTCCAACTGAATTACCTTCCTCATCTACTTCACTGGGTGGCTGAGAAGGCGTTAGTGGTGGGGGATGCTGGGGCTGGAGTGAAGAGCTGGGATCAGTAGAGCTCTTCATCCCACAGTTCTGGTTCAACCCAAGCTACTTCCATTGGGAACATCAGCGCCACTGTGCTGTTCTCAGTTACCTGTGTTTAGCTTCAAGTCTTGGTCCTTCACTTTCCTTTTCCCTTCTCTTTTTCCTTCCTTAGTTTACAGGATTCAGGACAAAGCACTTAACAAAGCATTTATTGAGCAGATCATGGAAGCAGTTGGGAAGAATAGTGTTGCCCTCGCACAGGCTCCTCAGAAACACCAGGCATGCTCTGGCTCCATGGTGACCTGCTAAATTGGAAGCTGCACGGCCCAGGATTTGAGCTGTGACCCTCTGTACCCCTGTGGAAGTCAGTGAAAAGGGGAGTCTTGGTAGCCTTATGAATAGGGACTCTGCCGTGGGAGCTCCTTTTGGTGGATGCTCAGTGGTTCTGACTGGGGCAAGGGGGGGACGAGGCAGTCTCAGATGGATTAAGGATGGCCTCCAAAGGAGGTGTGAGAAGCCCTGGTGGTTGCCAAATAGGCCTTTTGGATCTTTGCTTAGCTTATTGTGAGCATAGCAGTTGTGTGTGTGACTCGTGCCTCAGTACAGCAGCCTCCAAAGGAGGTGTGAGAAGCCCTGGAAGAATTTTGTCAGGCCTTTTGGATCTTTGCTTAGCTTATTGTGAGCATAGCAGTTGTGTGTGTGACTCGTGCCTCAGTACAGCGCTAATGCAGCAGCAACAAGCTACTTAGGAGATGTTTCCTCCTCCTCCTCCACGTCGCCGTTGTGCTGTGGGGCCCCGGTGCCTGCACTTTAGCTTCCTGGGAGAACTGGGGTTTGCCAGCTGGGTAAAACAGCCCCGAGGCTAGGCTGCAGCAGGAGGAGATCGTTGCCTCTAATGGATCTCTGCAGACAAGCTAAACCATTAGAAGGGAACGCAGACAGTTCTGATGGCATTTAGGGACCTTAGCCAGCCAGGGGAACCGAGCAGGTGGGAAGAGAGTGGAATCAGTGTAGGGAAGTACCATGTGCTACAGGACTTGCAGTTAGGTTAGGCAGCGTCAAGGCTGGTTTTGTTGAAGTTTGTTGGCTGTTGATGAAATAAACTACCCATATTAAATTGCTAGAAGTAAGTGCTGAGGCAGATGGAAGCTGAGATTTCAAGTTTTTGGCCAAACAATTGGTTATGTGCATTTTTCCTTCCCTGCAATCCACCCACCATCTGCCACACCTGTGGGCAGCCCAGTTTGCTGCTGAAGAGACTTGCTATAAAAGATTTGGGAAATACTGCTAAATCCACAGAATTGGACAAGGCAATCCTGATCCTCTGCCTTGTGCTTTCAAAGAGGCTTCCGTCTGGAACTCTAAAAGAGCATCCAAGATACCTAATGGTTTAGAGAAACCTCACTTTAGTGGTTCCTTCTGGATGGCTTAGGGATCTGGGAATTCAGTGTGCGTTATGAATCCCTGTGGAGTATGTTGTGTCATCAACAATCAGTTGCTGTTCTGAGAGACTACTGTCCTTTTCCAACCAGTCTTTGTGTGTTCAAACTGTCCAAGTAAGTTTAGCTTCAATAAGTCAAGTAACAGATCCTTGCTGTTACTTAAACTGTTCGACCCTGTTGCCTGAGTGAACAAGTTAGGGAGCAGTCACACAACAGGTTAACGTGCAGATCATAATTTCAGATGGGAAAATGAAGGATGATGAGCTATTGCAGTACAGGAATATAGGATCCTCTTTGGTCATCTTGGTTGCACAATAAGCTGGAAGGTACAGGTCTGAACTCTTACATTAAGAGGAGCTTGTGTCAATTTAACCTTTAGAAGTGGACACTTTTTGCACTGCGAAGCATTTCAGTGCCTGACTCCTTTCAGATATCTCTCCGGCTGTCCAAAGAATTGATGGTCCTGTCTCGCCCTTCTTTCTCTGAAGATTGGGAACCGATCTGAACATCCGAAGTGTCAGGAGCCATACCAAGTACTGTCTTCTCTGAGAGAGGCTGAGTATGCTTTGATGGCTGCTTTCTAAAATGAGATCATCAAAAACATTCAAAATTACAATATTAATATCACAGGAAAGGTAGACTGTAACCTTACCTCTTTGCCGGGACTCCAAAAATCACAATGAAACACAATTTTCTACTTTTATCTCCATGGATCTACTGGTCAATTTACAGAGATCTCAAAGCTGACAGTAGCATGTGCATATCTCTAAAATGTATTTGGATACCATCTATACTGTTACTTGCAAAAATACACATTGCCTTTTGAAGAACTCAACAGTTTGTTTCCTTCCAACTGTCCAAACAAAAAATGAATAGTCTTCTCTAGCCACTCTGTATTTAGTATTAGTCAGTGGTTGTGGGAATAGTGTGTTAGGAACCCTTAGCATCAATGCTGTCATTTTCTTTACAAAGATACAAGATGAAATTATAGATGATGTAGGTCTCTCAGGTCCTTCTGAGTTTTACACCAAATATTTAAGGGACAAAGGACAATTACATACACCTTGTACTTCTACCCCAACAATCAAATGAATGTTGAGAAAAGCCCATCAATGTTCTTGCAACACCAACTGTTCCTGCCTGTAGCACCTTGCCTGAAGAGTTTGCAAGGTGGTACACTGTGGTGGACTCCAAATGCCTTGATGTCATGTGGTCATGCCATGGTTTAGTCTGCAGCCTGCCCAGACTATCACATTTCAGCATGTCTTTGGAGCTTTTGCTTTTAGCAGAACTCACTGGAGACAGGCTATTTCTGTGTCTTGTTCCATGTCTGAATGTTGGTCCTCAGCCTCTTAGTCTACATCAGTACCGGTAAATTAAACATGGCTGGGACTGTTCTCTGACGCTGAGGCCAACTGGCACGGAACGACTCTCATACACACTACTAGGCTTCAAAACAGGACAGCTCCATCCACATTCTCTGCTGGGAAAAAGGCTCTGGCTTGGGAAAGCTGATCCAGGTCTCTGGGGTGCTAAGGCCTAACGTTTCAACAGTGCTGGCAGCAAAGTTCCAGTGCCTACGAGATACGCTGGACCTGTTTGCTTTACTAATTCAGACGTGGTCTGAATTGTGCAGTATCTTTAATTGCCGAGCTTTGTCCAACAGCAGGAGGCAATGGGATGTGGATCCTCTGGCAGGTGGAGGGGCCTCAAGGAAGATCTCTTCTTTGGAAAGGCCATGACAGTTGACAACGCGGTTCTGCAAGGAATCCATCATCTCCAGCGATGAATGTCACCAGCTAAAAGAGAGCAAGGGTACTTCTGAAAAGATCCTAGTACTTTCACTAGCATACAAATAAATGGCAATTAGCAATCAAAAATTCATAGACCGTAGTAACTGTTGGATTTAATGAGAAGTGTAAAATACTGATGGTCTTGTGAGACAGAGTTAGAAGAAACCTTATTAAAGAAAAAGAATAAAATCTTAAACTTGAAATACAAATAGGCCATTAAATTCAAACTCTCCTATCGTTAGTAAGGTTCAGAGTTCTCTTGAACTATCCACTGAGTATTATCAGCCATCTTCAAAATTAACCTAGCAATAGTGCACCGCTGTAATCAGAGGGGCACGGTGTGATGCTCTTCTGGCAAGCCTACTGCAGAGCTGCAGTTTCCTATAAACTGACAGAGAGGAAGCTACACATGGACAATTCGTCCTTCAGCCCTTCACGTGTAAGCAAGCTTTCTAGCACAATACATCACCTTAATTATTATGCCTTATGCAGCACGCCAGAATTCTCTGACGAGATTTTTTTTTTTTTTTGGTTGCCAAATTACATGGCAAAAATATTTTCCGTTGTCTGTACGTGGATTTCATCAGCCACGCTCCCATCTGTCAATGCAGGGTGAACGCTTTAATTGCTTAATCAGCTTTCCGGGTCTCCCATGCGGGCACAAAAGCACCACAGTGAGCTGTGTAGATATGTGGTGGTGCGTAAGCGATCGTTAGAAGTAGTTTTCTCAACTTTTGCATTCTAGGAGGCGACAAGCACGCTGGATTTGGTGAGATCATAAACAAGGTTATTTACTAGCAGAAGCTGATGTTTTTCTCCCCTCTATTTTTACGTTTGAGGATAAAGCACAATTTATGTTCTGGGCATCATCTCGTGGAAGTTCTAAATCACTTC